ATATTTGAAAATATGGCAAAAAAGAGGGAAATTCGAACGGTTGAGAGTTGGGATGGGAAGCTGCTGCCCGAGGGGATCGAATTCACTATGGCTCAAGTGGCTGTAACAGCGGCGTGTTGAGCCAAAGGTCGTGAGTTCGAATCCAGTTCGTCTCACTGATTTTTCATCTCAACCAAAAATCTTTGATAAAAACAGTAATTATTTGGAATGAATAATATGGTCAATTATGACCACGAAACAAATATGGATTATTTCTACTGTTTTGCTGCTACTTTTTTTAAAACTATTATTGTAGTCAATTTTCAAACGTTATGTCAGGAGCTGAATTCGAACCCACGACCTTCGGCTCGTGACACTAACGTTTTCATCTCCACCAAGACTTTAGATAAAAAGGATAATAAATTGAAATAATCAGTACGGTCAATTAAACATGTAGGGATTAATATTATTGTATGATTTTGCTTGTTACTACATCGTTTTATAAAAATTCTATTCAATAAATAATGGATAAAGTTTTAAAACTTGTCGTGCCTCCTGATATTAAATATAAATTTTTACAGTAGGTATCGTCAGAATTTTGAAAACCTATAGAACTTCCACGTCTGCTCTTTATTTACATAAAAACTGTCGTTTTCCTTTATGTATTGTAGGTTAGACATAAAAATTAGTGTGTGAGAGTTTTTTAATGAAAACATCTGTTTGAATAGCCTATTAAAACGAACGTGATCAAACAATTCATAGATTTAATTAAAAATCTGAATCCGTAACCCCCCGGAGCATGGCTCGGTGTTGGTTTCGTCAAACGTTTTGTAATTACGGACCCACTAAAATTAATTTTCGACGAACGACGTTTTACCTTTGGCAACGGAGGAGGCCGCGTTGGTTATTAAAATGGCCGTTTGTTCAGTATGAAAACATTAGCTGGAATTGAAAACCGCTGTTCTCCCGATTTACTTTGGTAGCGTATTATTATCTTTTGTCTCTAATTAAGCAATATTTATCCGAGACGCTGCCTCCTTCGATGTTTTAATCGGGAAACTTGGAGACGTCACGGTTGAAACTTTACATTTTGAAAGTTTCCGTCTGGATATTTAATTCACAGTAGGATACCCTGTACGTGTTAATACTTTCGTTGTTATTTATGCGCTTTAATTAAATTTCCGTTTGCTACGGCCGAATATAATGTCGGTACATTTCAGACCTAGAGTCCTTTCACTTGCATTCCCCAACATGGACCTCATTATAAAGCAGGCTCTGAAAACATTCCAGAAATAACCGCTCTTAATGAGTTTATATAGTGTGCAGACCGTTATGATCAGGCGTCTATTACTGAACAAAGTGAATGACGAACGTCGTTCATTTAGTTCAAATAACTTAAGAGACGGGAAGTACGCTAAGGTTTTTCTTTGCCGTTTTTCCTTAGCATGTTTATATATCAATAATAAAACATAAAAGCTGTAAAAACCATTATCATCCACAATAAGTTCCTACTGTTAGATTACCCTATAGAAAAAAATGGAGGGTTGGAGGAACAGCATGTTTTTCTAAATCCCAAAATAACGTAGAAAACAGAGATTATCGTTACAAAGGACCTGCTAACAAGCCCTACTTATTACAAATTACAGTGAATAATAATTTGGTTCTATAATTTTGCAAATTAGATTATTACTTGAGTGTTAATGATGTAGCTGTCCTGTAATAAACTAATTAAGTACAAGAAAAAATACCAGAACCTCTATTTTAGCCGTTCCAGATTAATTCGGCTTACCGAACTTTGACTGATTTGGTCTGGTAGAAAACTGCATGATTAGGCAAATTAAAACGATCAAATACAACCAAACAATGGGTTCATCTCTTTGCAGGCCCCAAGAGGAATCTCACAAAACCCAAAACTTACAAGAACGGTGCTCATGTTGAGGATTTTGCGGCTTGTCTGACAGTGAAAGAAATTTAATGCCAGATTAATAAATGCTCCAATAACTTAAACAATCTAGAGAACAAGAGCACATTTGCATTAGTTGTAATTATAACTACAATTAATTAAGGTTTTTAATTGAGATGAAAAAAAGTCAATGGCACGAGCGGGATTCGAAGTTCATGTCCGAGTGGATCGAGGTAACGATAGCTCAAGTGGTAGAGCAGCGGCGTATCTAGCCGAAGATCGTGGGTTCGAATCCCGCTCGTGCCATTGACTTTTTTCATCTCAACTAAAAACCTTAATTAATTGTAATGATTTAATTGGTCAAGCGGACCACGAAATTAGTGAATTTAAAGAATTAATACAAAGTACACTTCACTAAAGCTCTCCGTGGCCATTTCAATTATCGTCGAGAATCCAATCCGATTACACGACATTTGAAAAATGGCAAAAAGGAGGGGAAACTCATAAGGTAGGGCTGAGATAGGAAGTTGATGTCCGTGTGGATCGAGGTCACGATACCTCAAATGGTAGAGCAGCGGCGTATCTAACCGAAGATCGTGGGTTCGAATCCCGCTCGTGCCATTGACTTTTTTTCATCTCAACTAAAAACCTTAATTAATTGTAATGATTTAATTGGTCAAGCGGACCACGAAATTAGCGAATTTGTAATTATAACACTGCAGATCAGTCCTGATATAATTGCATGTCTTCTTCTTGAGCAGTTGGCCCAGTTAAGATTTAAAATAAATTTCTGAAATCATTGAGCAATCTACCTTCACCATATACAATGACACCGTATCCACCTTTTGGAGAAAAAATTTAACACTTAATGTTTAATTTAATTTAACCTTTTGAAAATGTTGAACCATAAATATCCTTCAGACTATATGTTCCATTTTAGAAAAAAAAGGCCTGATACTCTTTGGTTTTATTTGTTATTGTTTATATATTAATTTATTATGATGTACAAAATAAATCTGATTTTTGGATGCTTTATTTAATGCATGTATCAACGACGGATGACGACTGAGTGTGTCAGGTCTCATATGTTGTATACATCAATTGCCAACTGAGCTGAACTGTGGTGTACTTTGGTCCAACCAGGCTTAAAAAGTTTGTAGATAATTTAATTTCAAATTGGTTTAGCATATACTGCCAAAAATAGAGGTTCGTACATTATGCGACTGGCACAGTACTTGCTTTCAATACAAACACTTGGATGAACCAAATATTTACGCCATCTCATCAAAATATAGATTTTCTCCATATTATGCGGATGTGATTTTTTGTTTACTTTGAATTCCGCTGGAGTGAATATGCTACAGGCGTAATTGTTGAAAATAGTACACCTCGATGTACGTGTGCAGCTTGCGTTATACGCGAGACCGGTTTGGGCCAAATTGGCGGCCGTGGCGTCAAAGATTGATCTTTCATCATTCCGCAATCAACGCGTCCTCCCATTGTTCAAAGATTTATTCCAGGGTGATTTTTTCGTGTCACTAATCTTTTCTCGATAATGGAACACTGGATCTAATTTCATTCCGAATCGCCTATTGTACTCGGATCGAAATAATTTAACATGTAGTATTGTCCTTTTACATATGATAATTTGAACTTTATTGAAAATTCTGTGCATTTATTTGACATTTGAAAACTGTACTGAAGAGCAGCTGCTAAACGATCCGTTAAGATTTCTTAAATTAAAGCTAATTTTTCTCTATGCTCACTTTTAAACTTAAAATGTTATTTATTTTAATTAAAATATTACACAGACATTTTTTGTTTATACCAAACTAAAGATAAATCTATTTTATAATTTTGAAAACCGTCATTGTATGTGTTAACAGAGTTTAGAACATGTGGTAGTCGTAGTAAGAGCAGCTGGACAGTACGACCATATAACAACTCTCACGAAAGCTTGAAATCGTCCTCAGGGACTGTTCGGAGTCCTACTACTATGGTAAACGAGTCGACCCAATTGTTCCCTTCTAGAAGTTGGCACGTAAGCGCATCATTCAGGCTCATATGTTCTTTCTTCCACCCATCGTTCATTTCCCTAGGTCGCAGTAGTTCGAATGCTCCTGAAACCCTACACCGTCGTAAAAGTGGAACGAGGGTCACTTGTGAATGACGAAAAGAGTATGTGACACCCTTTACACAATCCTCTTCTGCTGATTGGTGTGTAGAAACTTTCCTCACCATCTCGACAATTTGAAACAGATGGGTACTAAGTGAACGTGCGAAAAAAGATCGTATAGAACAATTTTGTATGCTTGTGTATTTTGACCATTGCCAGTGAATGCAGGCTCAGGTCGGACGTTGGTTAAGACGTTACGTGCTAATACTATTTTCACGGTAGCCTTTCTATCAGGATATGAGAGATGATCTAGCTCATGAAAGAATTTTTGATATCCGCTACATGTTCTGCCCTTGGAGACCTCATAGTGCAATGGAAGCTTACATGGCAGTGTAATTTAGCAACATGCAATTTTGATTCTTCTTTGCGGCATGTAACTCGTCACCTTCCTGCTGTTTCACCGTCTGAATATAAATCGAGTGGCGTTGGAAGAAACCCTGAACCACTAAATCAATGTAAAAGCATCAGCAATTTTGACTGACACCTCTTTTCACGTGACGGATAGGATTGGGCATATTGCTATGTACTTTAGACGTTGGAGTAGAGCAGAGGGAGGGAGGGGAGAGAAAGAGAGAGAGAGAAAGAAAGAGAAAGAAATACAGGGGCAGAGAGAGAGAGAGAGAGAGAGAGAGAGAGAGAGAGAAAGAGAAAGAAATACAGGGGCAGAGAGAGAGAGAGAGAAAGAGAGAGAGAGAGAAAGAGAAAGAAATACAGGGGCAGAGAGAGAGAGAGAGAGAGAGAGAAATACAGGGGCAGAGAGAAAGAGAGAGAGAGAGAGTGAGAGAGAAAGAGAGGAGGCCATCCTTAAACTGACATTTATTGAATTATTATGGAACATTAAAATTAAGCGAAAATTTTTTACAACATCAAACACAAGAAATGCTCGTATTTTTTATATAATTGTTCTTGATAATATTAAGCTAAATAAAAATTAATTTTTAGGTCGAGAAAGGAGTTCTCCCTAAGTTCATGACAATCAGTAAGTTGACAGTTTTACATTTCTGCTCCTCCTGGAAAGTTACTTTGGCAGTTTCATCCGTGGTTCGTGGTGATTAAAATAGTTTAAGCCCTTTGACGATCCCAGTTTCTTGAAGAGAAGGCCATCTGCATAACGCGTAGACAATTGCCTTCCCGACAATAGTGACACTCCTTTACGGCGGGTGGGGCGCAATTTTCTGCACGTCTCCATCATATTGGATGTTGGCGGCATTTATAATCTTAACTTTATTCACGCATCGAGTTGGAATTTTCCAATTAAAATTGTTGCTGCATCCCAGTTCGACAAATTCGATAAGTGCTCTTTCAAGCCGTCGCGTTAATCGTGTGGGGTTTCGTAATGCACGGCTTTTTCCAACGGTTCTGACAGCGCGGTAACAAAGCTTTTCTTTCAATTACAATGCTTCTTAAAAATCCAATCAATTTAAATGTTACTTTCAATAGACAAATAAATTTACTCATATTGCATAATTACTGTCAATTATACTTTTATAAATCTAAATAAGTGTCAAACCGCCCGAAGTTACTTTTGAGTCAAAGTGAAAGTTTCTCTTCTGAGATCCAAATGACAGATAACAAAGGAATCTCCGGCTACCGATTTTTACAGGGAAAGCTAATGTTATCCGCTAAAAAGGGTGGAATCTTACTTTTTTAATTGAGCCAATTGCCCCTGAAAGCGGCATAATTCCTCGGATTTATCGGAAAACGCGGCTTTGAAAAAACTTTATCTATCCCCGAGTCCTTTCCGTTCCCAATAAATGAAAATCTAATCTTTTAGAAACCTTTAAGGTTTGAAAAAGGAAGAAAGAAAAGAGGAACCTCGTGCTTAAAAACTATTAAGTTGACAATGTAAAAAGTGCGGCGAGATAAAATTTCACTTTCGATAATAAAAGATACAATAAAACTATACAAAAACAAAGATTGTAAGTCAAGTTCTTATATTATGAATGATTAAGAATCTTAATTACCTAAAACTATTTTTCGAACTAACTGTGAAAATAAAAATAAAAAGTGCAACGCGCGAAGTACCTCAGTTTTTTGTTCATAAACTTTTTCAATTATATATATACAGAATAAACGAAAAAGTGCAAAAAACCATAAATAAACAGAGCAAACCATGAAAAAGATTCGACATATAAAATAAACTAAATCTTGATAAATATTAAAAATAACATATACAATTTGTCTCCGAGTGAGTGAAAATCGGAAATGTTCTACACATTTTATATTATTGGGTGCGTCTATTCTTGTTGATTTATGCTTTAATCATATGGACGCCATATTCAATGAGGAAGTTGAGAATTTGATTGAACACTGGCAAAACCTCCGAATTCAGCCTAACTGCATTCCCAATAATTTTGGTCCGCCTATTCTAACTGATGATTTTTCGGCTTCTCTACACTGTTTCTGTGGTACATAATATCAACTGAGTTAAGGTGGTTGAGAGATGAACGATGGGTGAGACAAAAACCAAAATCAAACTTATTGCTGAAGATTGTCGAAACTTCTATGACTGATAAATAGATAAACCAAAATAATAGTACACTAACAGACATGCATTTGTAATAACAACAACAAATAACAACACAAACAATTTATGTAAACCGAAATACGTCGATCAGTCGAAAATAAATGGTGAAGCAAATAATCGAATACACTACAAGTTTGTCTTCTCGCACATCTCACAGCATATCTTACAATTTCACATTGATTTATCTAAATCTTGAGATTAAACGAATTTGCATTGTTTTGCAACATTTACAAACTTGAAACGTTTAGCGTAAGAGTGACAATAATTGATGATTTGATTTGTTTCAAAAAGCTGAAATAATTTTCTCTTTATTTTGGTTGTTTCGATCTCCCTCTTATAATTCGACTTCACTAGTTGAAGATCCTTCAATATCAAAATAAAGTGTTGAACGGCAAGATTCCCACGATCTTTTTTTCCGGACGACTCGTTTCTCTTCTAACGTAAATAATACATGGGAAGGGGGTGAAAATTCTCATACTTCCTTTGGAAAAGGGCTTGAGCTCTTGATGCGGGCTTAAAAGTGAGGGACCGCCTCGGGCGGTCGGATTTTTATTTATGTCGATAGTTGAATCGCTGGAAAAAAAAGGTCGGGTTTGCAGACGCGTTGAGTTCGATCTCATGAATATTTAACCTTCTCATTGGAGGGCTTAATTTGTGAGACGACGAGGCGATTCGGATCGCCCACCGATTAAGATCGAAATCCGTGACGTCAGACCCCCGGGGTGGAAATTTTTGAATATGAGGCCCATCTTTCATAAACACGGTTCTAATCGCCCGACTAGCATTGATAAAATAAATTATTCCGTCTGTAATTTCACTGGACCTTTTGTTAGGGGAGCCATCTCAAGAACCACCAAGGACCGACGTTAATTGCGAGTAAACGACCCGTATTATTAACTGTGTCGAAATATGTTTAAAGATTAATTGTGATGATGTAAGACGATATACGTTTGATTTAAAGATAAAAGATTTTGTGAACAAAAACAATGAAGGTTTGTATAATACAGAAGACAAACGAGCCACCACTGAAATGGTGTGATGATGACACTCGTCTGCCAGAACATCCCAACACGAATAGAAATATCAAAATTATCTGTAACAACCCAATAATTATTTACATACATATAAGTAAAAACCTATTAGATAATTTGAAATTTTGTTGAATGAAAACAGTCATTACAAAACGAAAGCTATTTCCTTTAAAAAAAGAGATTTTGAGTCCATCAATTTCATTCCCTGAGTCATAAGTGTGAGTCACATTTTCCGTTATATTTTTTAAGTTGATAAAGCGTTCATAAGGCCTCGTGAAATTTGTTTATAATATTTTGATGAGTCGGCGGTTTTCTCTTTCTCATACGTCCGGAACAACTCGTCGGCAGATTCAATTAAGGTTGAAGAGGTAGGTCCTCGCTGACGCTCTTCTTTTTCTTGTCTTTACGACAAACACCAAGTAGGCACATTACGAGTTCCTTCGACACTTTTCCGGCAGCAAAGTATTTTTCCTGTCCTTCAAACGTGTCTTCCGCCTCACCGGAGCTATCGAAGCCGGGATTTCACCCGTTGGCTGTTGCCTCTATTTGGAATTTCCGCTTAATTTCTGAAGCGTCTTCGTCACAACTACCGCGAAAAATCCTTCCACTAAGCATGGTTGATGTTTAACCTCGCTGTACTTCGCCTCTCCAGCAACCAGGTCCTTAGCGAACAACTCGCACCTGTTGTAGAACTGGAACCATTTTACCAGGCTGGAACTCCATACTAAATTTATTGTACGCGCAGATCGTAACCAAGCATTACCTGCTACGGGGTGATCGAAGGAAGGTTTGCAATTGACTGATTACTGATTTATAGAAAGTCAAATATGCACGTGAGACGTACCAATAGTCCGGAGACAGAACTTGGTCTTATCCATCCAACTCCGAGGTTGGGCTCCAGGGGCATGCTCACCGCATAGGCTTAGGCCCAAAAGTAAGTGTCCATGTTTCATCCACCCATGGCCTATTCTTGATTACTGTGTGAGAATGATCCCTCTCCTAGGAGTCGATCCTCCGAGAGACATTTAACGTCTGGTCTCTTGACACCAGAGCTTCCCAGCTGTCCGGCTCATCGACGCTGACACATTTTTTAATCATGTTCTTTTACATTTATAGCGCAAGAGGGCCGGACGCAGTGGTCATGTCTGGAGGTCTGGATGTTTCGGCCGTAGCCGGATACCGTCTTAATAAAAATTCGGATCAAGAAGTGAAAGAGCTCTGTATCGTATAACTTAAATGTTTATTGATGAAGTTAATTTTTGCGGCATACCAAATTGCCAAAAACATACAAACAACAGATGGTGTGGTATGTGTTGAAAGTTTCAAGTGGAATCAGAGTTATTTAAAAGGATCTAAAGTTTGGGATTGGTGTGAGTTGTGTAAACCTGGTAAAATGGTACCATGTGCTACTCCAGCAAAGCTAGTTTAATAGCCGACTTCAATGGCTAATAAAGCGCTCAGTGAGATAGCTGTGCAGTATCAGATAGTAGGTGGTAAGGTAGGCTAAACCTAGTAAGCCCGGGTAAAAAAAAAAAACATCAGTAAAAGCTCTAAAACAATGGACCCCAACTCAAGAAAAAAAAGAGATAATGTTTGAATGTTTGCGAAAAATTTAGATTTGGAATCATCATTTTTAATAGGAATTTTTTAAAATGTTACCTAAAATATTTAGTAGATTTATTTACTTATATTAAGTGGTAAAATGTGTGCTTTATTGGTTAATTTGAGATTAATGATAGAATGAACTGCAGAAAGCGAAAAATTTTAGAAGGGAAATAAAACAGAATGGGAGAGAGTAAACACTCGAAAGTTGCATGTGTATATGATGTTTTTTATTGCAATTTATTCACATTGCACCCAGAAAACCATTTAAACAAATATTTGTAAAACTGTTAATTATTTTTCAAATATAACAACAACTGATATGTTGTTTAAACTTTTGCACGTTTAAAAATAAAAATACGAGCTAAATTTTTAAATTGTATGTCTGTGTAGAGCTTCTAATGCTCGCTTTAATTACATCTCCAGGGTTAATTGAATTCAGTAGCTATTTTGCTTTGTTTTTTTCAAGGGATACGCCGGAAAAGTTCATTTAGGCTTGATTTCTGCTTACAATTATTTTTCTCTTTTGACCTCTTTTGTTTTCAAGTAATTAACCTGTAAACGATAGTACTAAATTGCATTGTTTCAGGGCTAAGTAAACCGAGTAAAACGAACTCATGTATCTTGCCAAATTATAGTGAAGAGAATACAAATACATACATAGAAGAAAATTAATGAAACCACAACGGGGTTGCAGCTTTACTTACGATACTCGCTAAATTAAAATAAACAAAGTGAACATTAAAGAATTTTGGAAGTATCCACGTGATAATTACGAATTGTTTGAACATGGACTATTTTATGTTTGAGTACAACGTC